GGGTTAAAGGAGCAGCTGATTCGGGGGCGCTGGCTCACTCAGGCTGGGGGGTGGGGGTGGGAGGGAGGGTTTCGGATGTGGGGCGAGCCTGTGGCGACAGAGGCCAGCGTGACGTTGCACCAGCCTGAGGCGCGCTGGTGTGTCCTCCCGGGGAAGTTGTCCCTGGATCACGGGACCCTGTCAGTGTCGGGCTGCACAGGCTCCCGGGAGCGGAGGTGTGGATAGTGACATGTGCTTGCACACAGGCTTCTTTGTAGCTGCAGCAGCAGCCTTAGCATCCCATGCCCGTCTCTGGGGTTTGCACTGATAGCCGCGGCTCACGCCTGTCTCTGGAGCTCCTTTAAGCGGCACTCTTAATCCCTTCTCCTCACGCACCAGGAAACAAAAAGGCAAGAAAAAGTCTCTTGTCTCTTCGGCAGGTCCAGACTTTTTCCCGGACTCCCTCCCGGCTGGCTGTGATGCACTAGCCCCCTTCAGGCTGTGTTCACGCCGCCAACCCCAGTCCTCTCCCTGGGATCCAACCGAAGCCCAAGCCTCAGCTCCCAGCCCCCACCCGCCCTGGTGCGGGGGCAGACAAGCCTCTCGGGCTGGTGACTGCTAGTCGACACCAATCCTCTGTGCGGGAATCTCTCCGCTTTGCCCTCTGCACCCCTGTGGCTGTGCTCTCCTCCGTGGCTCTGAAGCTCCCCCCTCCGCCACTCGCAGTCTCTGCCCATGAAGGGGCTTCCTAGTGTATGGAAACCTTTCCTCCTTCACAGCTCCCTCCCACTGGTGCAGGTCCTGTCCCTATTCTTTGTCTCTGTTTTTTCTTTTTTCTTTTACCCGTCCCAGGTACGTGGGGAGTTTCTTGCCTTTCAGGAGGTCTGAGGTCTTCCGCCAGCATTTAGTAGGTTTTCTGTAGGAGTTGTTCCACATGTAGATGTATTTCTGACGTATTTGTGGGGAGGAAGGTGATCTCCACGTCTTACTCTTCCGCCATCTTGAAGCTCCTCCCATAAAGTCATTCTTTAGGCAACTTATTGCCAGAAAAAGTTTAGACTACATAAAATTGCATCTATTATTTGAAACATGACCAATAAGAGAAAATATTCTGAAACACTTTTTTTTAAATGGGAAGAGTATTCATTTTAATTATGTAAAGATGTTACAGAGCTAAATTAACAAATTTCAGTCAGTATAAAATAGATTTATTGTCAATATTCAGTCATAATACAACCCAGGTAAATGAACCATTACTTTATACAAGGCTCAGATGTTTAAAATCTATCTCAACTTTACACATGTATTATAAAATGATAAATACTTAAAATGACGATGCAAGCGAAAATATTATAAAAAATACAATTGTTGTAGACCTTTGTATGAAAGTTCTTTAAAGTTATGCCTTAAGGAATAATACCATACTACATATCAGAACCAAAAATAAAGTATTTTCCTTGAGGTTACAATGCTCAATGATATACTGGATGCACTCTAAAATACCATGCCTGACAAGAATCAAGAGACAAGGCCATCAATAATGTTGAGAGAAAAAAAAAAGAGAGAGGAGTAATCAATTGTTACATGCTGATTTCTGCTGGAATGGCCTCTTTAAACAATTTATAGCACTGTGGGAGAACTGAAAAAGAAGGGGACCAATCTCAGCTTTATATAAAGGATTTCCAAATCAGCACAAACTCAGACAATGTTAAAAGGTACTGTTCCCAATGCTCTCCACTCTTCAACCCCTTACATGGACTCCTTATCCTAAGTCCGTGTTTTTTCTCTAACTTCTTCCTAAGGGCTTACCAAACACATTTTCTGTTTTCTATTATCTAACATACAAACCAAAAGGTGTTACGTACAACAATAATATCTGTCAGTCAAGTCAGTTCTAAAGACACCAATCTTGGTTTAGATATTAATCATGAGATTTACGCATAACCATCCTTCTTCCACACACACTCCCACCTCCCCTTACATATTGACTCCATCCTGAACTGTGAAGCAATATGAAGCTTTAAGATTTTTTATTTCATCAATGATTTGCCTGTTGCCAAGCTGCTTGGTTGGCAGCAATATCAGGAGCTGTTTGGAATGCTTGGTCAGTATAAATAAAAAGGATGTGATCAATGAATTACTGTAACGTATCAAAGTGGGGCTTCTACAGGCAGACATGAAGAATTTACCTTTAGACTTCTCTCACTCATTTCAGAAGGGAGAAAAATGTGTCTTGAAAGGGAAAGAAAAAAGGTGAGATAAGGAAATACAGCAAAATATTAATACTGTAGTAATAGGAAAGGGTATGCTTATAGCCAACCTACCTCGTGGAGAAGTTTCTGGCATAAAAATCAAACTTTCTCTCTCTCCCATTACTCTTTGCACAAGATTAACAGTTGATTTACATCAAGAGAGGCAGAAGGCCACTGAACACTTTTCTTCAAAGGTAGGGAATTTCTTTTTGAAATGCACATTAGAGAAAGGAGGAAAAGGTAGGGAAAGCTCACTCAAAGAGGTCCTCAAACATGCGTTGTCCCATTGCTATGTACGCTTCCTTTTCATCTGGTGTCATTTGGGCCACCAGCTCTGGCTTCTGGCTCACTTCGCTGTAGGAGAACGGACGGCCAGCCACCATGACAATGGGGTCATCTGCTACTTCCTCAAATTCATCATCTTCCTCATCCTCTTCCCCATGATGTGCAGCCACAGCTGTAGCACAGGGTGGAGAGTCATCGTCTGACTCACTGGTCTCACTCTCAGAGTCACTGCCATTGGCAGTGGTCACAGGAGCAGCCGCTCCCACTGAGCCTGCTGTGGCAGAGGGGGTCTTCTTCTCATGAATGAGCAGTGCTCGCATGACCTCCTCATTATCATCTGGCCCTGCACGGCCTTCCTCACGCTCCTGAAACGAGTCTATATCTAAGCCACCTGGAAGGAAAAAAACCAGAAAGTCAATACCCTTAAACATAAAAGGTATTCCTTTAAAACTAACAAAATACATAATATTTTAATGTATTATATTTAAATATAGGATAATATTATAAAATAACACAGACTTCACTGGTTCCATTTTTTGAGCTACTGTCCACAAGATATTCAAAATGTTTCTCACAAACTGGAACTTAAGTAGCGTAATGGTTAAGTACAGTTGACCCTTGAACAACGTGGGTTTGAACTGTGCAGGTCCACGTATACATGGATTTTTTTTTCCAATAGTAAATACTACAGTACTACATGATCCATGGTTGGTTGAATCCATGGAGGTGGAGAAACCATGAATTTAAGTTATACTCAGATTAATCCCTGTACTGTTCAAGGGTCAACTGTACATGGGTTTTAAGAAATATATGGCTTGGATCTGAATCCTGGTTCTTCCACATGCAAGCTGTAACACTTTAGGCAAGTTATTTAGTCTCTAAACTTTGGTACCTTTTTCTGTAAGATGGGATAATAAAAGCATTTGTCTTCTAGAGCTCTGGATAAGAACATGAAATAATGTCTATGAAGGACCAATTTTGTAGCTGGCATAATAGGACATCAAAATACGGCTCCTCATCTTGCTCAGAGTAAAAGCCAAAGGCCTTACAATGGCATATAAAGTCCTACATCATCTGAACTCCTCCTGCCCACCTACTTACCCCTTCATCATTCTGCTCCTGTCACAGTGGCCTCCATGGTATTCCCTGTACATACCACACACACACTACTACCTCAGGGCCTTTGCACTGACAGTTTCCTTTGCCTGGGATATTTTTCCTCTAGGTATCCATACCCCCTTGCATCTTTCATGTCTTCACTCAGATTTCACCTTCTTTCAATTCATCCCTACCTCTATATTCCCAATGCTCTATTTTCTTCCCCATAGCATTTATTTTCTAACATAATAATTTATGTCTATTTTCTTTGTCACCTACTTTCCACAGCTGTAGGTTCTCCACAACAGATATTTACCTTTTTTATTCAGTGATATATCCCATGCACCCAGAATAGTGCCTATTGCTTGTTAGGCACTGAACAAATATTTGATGAATGAGTAAATAAATGGCAGTTTTATTTTCCTGAAGCAAATTAAGTGTACTTTGAACTGTTTATCTAGGAATCTAGTATCAGAAATGAAACATCTCCCACCACACACCTCCTATCATTTTGTGTACATATTACAGATGAAGAATTTAAGAAAAACATTTATATTCTGAAAATAATACAAAATATAATGCCATTTAAATACATAAAATAATTTAAAATGTTGATTGAAATCTGACTCCTTGATTCAAATCCTGACTCTTAACACTTTTAGCTGTATGATTTTGGCCAAGTTACTTCATCTTTTTCTGCTTCAATTTTCTCAAGTACAAAAATAGGAAAAAACAGTATCTACCTCACTGGATTATTATGGGTATTAAGTGAATATTTGTGAAGGCCTGGCACTTAGATTAGTGTTACTTATTATCAAGAGAAGACCCAGAAATGACCAATTCTGGCCATGGATGAAGTGAAAGCATCTTCTCATTAACATATTAGAATGAATTAGTTGTAACCCTGGACGTTTTAGAAAGTATAGAACTCCTCAGATAAGATATTGGGCACATAAGAGAGAGAAAGGGAAACAGGAATTGAGAAGTTAAAAGTTTAGATTAGAGAAAACAGGCTTTTGATAACATGGATGTAAAAATGAGGGTTAAAATCAAACAACCATTTTAAAATAGTGCCAAAGGCTGAACCTCCTCCTTAGAGCCCTTATTACTAATGCAGTATTTCAAAAGGAAAAAAAGACAAGGAATGTATGCAGGTCTCTAAGACTTATACACTTCTAAAAGAATTTTCCAAATACCTTAATATTACCAACATAGTATTTTGAACAATGCTTAAAGTAAATATAAAATTAGAGGAAAAGCAATTTAGTTTTGTGAATTAAATGAAGTCATATCTGAAAGATTTCTGACAAGGTTCTTGAGAGATTTAGCCAAAAAAGGAATTATTCTGTTACAGATGAAGACAGAAAACAAAAAATAAGGATAAATGAACAAATCTCTAGATGGTAAGGTAGAAACACTAGTTCTAGGATCAGTCTTATTTAATAGAGTTACAAATTACGAAGATGTGTCCTGGGAGACTCAAGTTCACTGATGATGCTAAGCAATTCTGGGTTCTTAAAGGCCAAACTGATAGCAAAAAAATATAGGAAGAGCTGAAGGTTGTATAAGTGGGCAGAAAAGTGACAGATCTATTTCAGTATTGGCAAGTGTAAGAAAATCTGCCTATAGAAAAATAATCTAAAATATACTAAAAAACTTAATCCAAGTTATCAGAAAAAGGGCAGGAGAGGGTCTGAAAAAAATCTCTGCACATAATTCTAGAGTTGTTGGTCTTAATATGCTTCCAGAAGCAAAGCAATAAACTGTCATGTAAAAACTAGAAGGATATTTGAGATAAAACTCAAATAATTAATGATAAATTCATGCATAAATAACATGTATTGCTCTGGTCACTAGGTCTCAAGTAAAGTATATTACAATTGGAGATGGTCCAGAAAAAGATAATTAAAATAAGACAAAAACTGTAGGTGGAGATGGCTTGGGGGAAGAGAATCCTTTGTAAGGAAAGTAGAATCAAAAGGAATTAGAACTTTCAGTAGAGTAGTAAGGACATGATTGAAGTCTATAAAATTCTGAAAGATGTTAAAATAACTTGAACTCTGAGGAAAATTAAGTGTAGGACAAATACGACTCACTTCACACATTCACTGGATAGAGCCTATTCAACTATAATAAAACCTAACGAAGACAAATTTAGACATAAAAGCATAACCTATTTTATACATAGAAGGAAATATTCACAAAAGGGAACAGGGTAGACTAGATGACTTATTTAAAGCCCTTATGATTCAAGTTGTACCATTCTAGGAATTATAAACATTGACTGTTAAACATATGAGCCTAACTGTATACAATACTTGCTAACAATAGTTTTATTTCATTCAATTTTGTTCCTAAGTTCACAGAAAAAAAGGCTTGGTTGCTTCAAGAACAGGCAAGAAGCCAAGTTGGGGAAAACGAACCTATTAAATAGTTGACAGCCTAACTACTATGTAATCTAAACCAATAGGCACCAAAATAACTAAACCTCATAGCCAAGGTAATCAGTGGGAAGGAGGGAGAGTAAAGTATGATTGCCAAGGAAAACTTTTTTCTGGTTGGAATTAAAACACCAAAGAGAATCACACTAGAGAATCACACATCTGCTTTTACCATGACTACCCAACTCCACACTACTTTTACAATTCTTAGCATACACAGTAAAGAAATGCTAATTATGAAGGGAAAAGAGTTTAAAAAAAAAAGTCAAAAAACAAGTGGTTTTTAATTACTGATGATTCTTTAGTATTAAAGAAACAGACTCAAGTGATATGTTAGTAATGATACATAACCTAGGAATAGGGGCGGGTAGGTTCTAATGCTGATGAAATCTAACCAGAGGGACAGACTCCCTCTTTCACCTCTGTTTCCCAGTTTCTGAGCAATACTTATCCAGTTTTAGTCTCCCATTTTCTACCTAAACCATCATCACCCAAAGTCTCTGAATCCAGTAATTTGAGACTAACATTTAAAAAGTAAAATCGTGCAGTTCTCAAGCTTCTGATTATTATATAATTCTTAACCCTTCAGGGCTCACAGAGATTTCCAAAATCTTCTAGTATAAAGTTTTGCCAATCTTCTTGGATGGTGAGAATCCTTGTCTTTACTCATTTGGTATCTTTTTATATATTTCAAGTAGCACATCTCCTTGGTATTTATGAGGAGACAACATAACTAGCATATAGTTATGGCTCCTAATTCAAAGAGACAAAAATGCATGCAAGTTAGGGCAACAGAAGATTAAAGGAGAATTGAATTTGGCCACTTTGAACACAAGAGTACTTTTTCAAGAAATTAACATAAAAAACCGACAATTTCTTAAATCTAAAATGGAAATTTAAAAAGCTGTCTGTTTTTTCAACTAAGTTGAAGTTTAATACAAGTATACTGGTTGGTTTTAATGCTTATTGCTCAATTTACTTCCTGCTATAATGCAATTGTGTTATAAAACAGACACAGTGGGTTTCCAATAAAACTAAGAATTGCCCAGGTGATTTCCTAGGTCAAGTTCATTTTCTACCATACCCAAGACATATTCATTTTACTTCTTCTACTCTTACCTTCCTTCATCTCTTCAGAACTATATGCTCCTTGAACAGTGCTCTCTCTTAACCAAATAGGTCTCTCTTTGGCAGATTTCCCCTCCAGTGAGGCTCGATGAAGATCTTCTTGGTCATCCATGTTAATGACAACATTCTGAGTGTATAAGTCCTCATAAGAGGGACCCTTGGTGGCCCATGCTTCCCGGTGGTGCCCACCTGCCAGGCCAGCAGCTGCAGCAGCAGTTGCTGCACGGTCCTTGCTATATAACAAGATTAGAGGAGGAAGGGAAGAAGAAAACTTGAAGTCTTGGTGCTAGAAAAGAAGGGCAGCTGCGTAAGTAGTTACTGAAGAATTACATATAAATTCTATCTAGCAATCTTGCACACATGCTTTCATAATTCTGGAAAATCCGCTCTTATACCACTGGGTGAAAGTTACATTGGTTAGAACAACACATCATATTTATATTTAAGTTTCTCAAACACTGAATCCTCTGGTGTATATAAATGCATTAGGTGTATACAAATGATTGAGGTTGTACAGATTAAGATGTTTAAATAAGTCTACTTAGAGAGAGAGGAGAATGAAATAGTGACATAATCCACTTAAAGACACTAGTCTGGTAAAAATCTCTCCCAGTAATATCTTTGATGAGTATTTTGTTTAAAAACAAAACAAAAACCCCAAACAAAACAAACCACATGCTATATTTTAAAAAGCATGCTCTCAGCTCAACCCAGAAGAATTCAAAGTAGTTCCATGGGCTTTTCCCCCAAGAAGCTAGAATAGTATTCTACAAAGCCAGACTTCAACTCAGAATTAATATTCTGCAACTCACCAAATAAGACAAATCTTTATGCAGAGATCAGCTTCTTTTCAAGTTGTATCTGTCCATCTCTGCACCTATGCTGACTCTCCATATCCAGGCCCAACCATTATTTCTACCCCACAGCAACCATGATCTATTTCTGAGTCTATTTTTTTTTGCCTCTTACTTCTACTACCCATGATCTTCTTAGTCTGTTCCAGGTTGGATCATTCCTTATCTTTCTCTAGTCACTTAACGTTTCCTCATCTCTATGAGTTTTCAGCCTTTCTTCTGCTCCCCGTTTTATCTGATTGTTTCACTTTCAATGTGCTCCACATTCTTTTGAATACACCTGATTTTCTGTGTGCCTAAGCTCACACCTTGTCTTTCTTTGCCTGCTACTGATGCTTTTCTGCATCAAGTTCTAGGCATGACTGTCCCTCCCTTTCTGTTTAGATAGCTCTTTTATTGCACAAACTATCTTCACATTTCATGAACTACCTGCTTATTTAGTATCTGTTCTGTATCTTTCTCCATACCTTTTGCTGTGTTCCTTTCTGTGTCTGCTGACTGATTCTCTTGGCCCTATGTTTCTCCTTTACTTCTCTGCCATTTTTCCTAAATCTTTTCCATGAATCCTGGACTGTCTCCTGTGTAGTGCGCTGTCCATTCTGAGCCTAAGCAATACTTCTTCATTTTTCTTTAAGTTCTGTAACAGTCCTCTCTCTCAGAAGCCATTCATTGTTTTTCCTTCTCTTTGGTCCTACTTCATATCTGCTTACTCCACTGCTCCCCATTTCTTCCTGGGCCCACTCACATCTACTTGAGTTTTGTCTCATGTTTAGTTGAGATTTCTCTGACGTATCCATGTATCTGACTGGCCCATTACATCTCTCCCTGAGAATACTGTGTTTCTGACCAACCTCTGGAGGTAATCGTGGGTTCATCCCATCCCTCCCTCCTGTTCTGCCTCTGGATATCTACAGACCCAGTGCCACTTTTTCTATCAAAAAAATGCACCCTCTCTAGTTGTACAAACCATGCTGATCTGGTCACTTAATCCATGCCTTGTAACTACTGCCTTTAGCTGTACCAGGGCTGCTTTGTAAATCACTCTTTCCTATAGCTTTTTCATCAGTTATTTGCTGGCTCACTCTGAGTCTAGGCCTACGAGGCCATCTCTCTGTACCCAATCTATCTATTTGTCTTACTATATTTTAAAGTCTTATGTTACAGCTTTTTTCCATCTTAAAATAGGACACAAGGAAGGGATGGTCCAATTTTCTGTGCTTGAACATTTTCATCTAAATGTGATACCTAGAAAGACATGACCACCTTAGGCTAGCTACCCTGGTGGTGCCAAGAGGAAAACCACCAGGCCAAGTTCGGCAGAGTAAGTATGGAACAAATCTAGATCCTTGAAGATGTAACTGAGCTGTGGAATTAATTCTGAATTGTGCTACCTAAGGACTTCTGGTCATGCTAGAAAGTTTTTCTTACTGTTGAAGCTACTTCTAGTTAGTTTTCTGTTATCACAGATAAAAGTATCCTAACTGACACAGATGCTAGAAAAGAAAATTCACAATAACTTGTACAGATACAAAACCTTCTGTATAACTGGATTGTTTTTAACCACCAAAAAGAAACTCAATTTGCTCAGGACTGCCCAGAACTGGCTTTTCTGCAGCATCAGTACCAGAGGGCACAAAATACTAAGAGTGCTCCCAAAATCTATATAGTTACAACTTACAGCTTGGACTATTGTGTTCTATGGAAGGGAGTAGATGGGGTATAAACTCTAAAAGCCCTCAGCTTGAAACTGGGAAGAAGAAAGAAAAAGGGAAGAATAGGAGAGTACTCCCTGACCTCAATTCTCATTTATACTTTTCAAAGAAGAAAAACCACTTTTTATGGCATGGCAAAATTCAGGCTGCCTCTGCAATTCAAAAATTAGGGTACACTGACAAAAACAGGGAGCCACAGTAAGAAGAATTAACCCATAGGTAACATCCACTATACTTTGCTTTCAAGAAAGTTGCACTGAAAACTAAGGAAGGCAAGAAATGTACGGCTGAAAACTTCAAAAACAAACATACAAAAAAAGTGAAAGCTGTATTCCTTAAAGAACTTCAGGCTTCAGAACTTGACTAAGAAAATTCAGATATCCCCAAAAGGCACAACCAATTTAGGACTAACTAACAATTGGCTGAGTTGCAGTAGGTCCAAGCAGATTGAGTACTTAAAAGTCAAACCTGACTATTTAAAGATTTTTGCCTAGGGCTCATACTGTTCTGCATTCAGTACAAACAAATTTCATCACAGGCACAAGTTAATACGACATGTGTGGCAGAGCTTAGAATCCACATAATCTTATAGTTTTTAATCTCCTGGTAAATTACTTACCCAATCCTACTCTCCAAAGTACAGGTAGTTAAAACAAGGGCAAGCTTAAAAGTGTTCTTGGTAAGAGCACAGGGCCTACACTCACCTCTGTTTCAGGGCTGGTATTTCTGTGGGTTCTGGCTCAAGTATTTCATAGGCCAAGTTCACATCCTCTGTCTCTCGAAGCAAAGCATAAATGGGCTCAATTTGTTCATTAAACCTTGCCAAAAGTGTGCGTGCATCTTTTTTGGGCATTGCTGATTCATCTTCTTCTACCTCTGTATGGCAAAAAGTACAGCGGAAAGTTCCTATAGAGAAAACAAAAGTCTCAAGTCAGGGAAGAGAAATTCTCAAGATTAGCCTTTAGCAAACAGTTTATATCTCCACTCTTCCTCCAACATTTTATTATTAAAACTTTCAAAAACATGGAAAAGATTAAAGAAGTTTACAGTGAACATCCATGTGCCCAACACTGAGATTCTACAATTAACATTTTTCTAAATTTGATTTATCACATATCTATCCATCTATCATTTTTTGAAGCATTTCAAAGTAATTTCACTCCTCACTGCAGCACAGCAAACAGATTTTAATCGCAACATTTCTAACATACATATACTTACTTTAACTTAAAATCAAATTCTTTACAGCTTACCACTGAAACCTGTATCCTTTTCCAACAGTTTTCTTTTTGCACAGTACACATTTGAGTCTATGTCATGGGGAAAGCCAAATAAATACCTAAAACCGAAAGTCTCTGGTCATTCTGTACATTGTAACAAGGTTATTTCTTCAAATTTATTAACTATTTACATCTAAATAACTTTAACCAATCCATTTCCAAAATTAAAGTTCAAGAAGCCTTTATTGTTATTTCTACAGCCTTCACATTCAACTTATAATTAAATTGTAGTAATTCCTTAGAAACATCACAGATTTTTCACTTCTACTATTATTTCACTAATCTGGGCCACCATTACTTAGCCTGAAATTTAGCTTCCTAAATCTGGTCTTTGAACCTTTAGGCTCTCCCTCTCCAATTACAAGTTTCCTAGACCACCATTTGAATCATCTCATCCCCCTGCTCTAAAGTCTATCTGATGGCTGAACTTCTAAAGTCCACAGCATCAAATCTAAATTTCTCATCCTAACATTCAAGAACCTGTATAACTTGATCCAAAAACATCATAACCCTACCACAGTCCTTTACTTGTCAAGTAAATTCAAACACTTGAGAGACAATATACTAGACATTAACATTTATTTTATTTGTATAAGTGCTTTCTTTATAAAGCGCTTCAATTTACACTTTTTGATACCTATACCAATCCTGTAAAATGACGTCAGAACCGAGGATCTGAGTTTTGTGATTTGTCCAAAGGCACATAGCCAATAAGAGAAAAGTAATAAAAGCAGCTATTGTATACCGAGTGCTTACTAAGCAACAAGTATCGCCAGTCATCTGAAGACGGTATTATTATTATTGCCCATTTAAATCTGTAAAATACAGAGGTTCTAAGGGGTTGAGTAACTTGCTCAAGATCTTATCACTACTAATTGGGAGGTGATGGCAGGATTCAAACCCAATCTATTATGATGAAACTCACACTCTTAAATATTACTTAACACCACTAGCCCCATTTGGATCTCCAGTTTGGTCCTTATTCTCAATGCCAGGGATATGCATCCTTCCTTTCTAACCCAATTAACCCAAGAGATTAAAAGAGATCACACAAGCACTTAATGTCTGGCACATAGTAAGTATGCAAACATTTAGTTTTAAATAGCCCAATATATGACTGACACATAACCCCACCCCCAACCCCTCTTCCCCTAGTAAGGAATAAACAAACTAGACATCTCTGCTTCAACATTAACACTAGATTCTACTGATATATTTCAAACAGAGTAAGTTTCTCTACTGCCTCTCACACATAAACAACCAATCACAAGTAAATTCTTTGTTCATATACCCTGTCTAAACATTCTTAATCCACCTTCCTGCTATCCATATACTACCTCATCTTTTACATCTATTTCAAATAAGTGAGAGAGAGAAAAGCAGCCCCTCATAGCTAATAATGAACCTAGCACTCATAGCTAGGCTGTGATGCTTTTCTGCAAAACGGAATCTCACAGATCACCAACATCAGATAAAAGGTCCTCTGAGACCATGATGCAAATGAGGCAAAACCAAGCCAATCTGAATCTGTCTGAATATAGACAAAAGCAAGATCTCTGCACAACCACACACACACACACACACACACACACACACACACACACACACACACACACACACACAACCCAGCTAACACGAATGACTGCTACTTCTTTACCAATTACAGTTTTAGCCTCACCCTGGTCTTCTCACCTCTGGGATAAGATTTCTTAAGATATCCAATCATAGAATTACCCTCACTTCTTTTTTGTTTTGTTTTGTTTTTTCGTGGCACGCGGGCCTCTCACTGTTGTGGCCTCTCCCATTGCGGAGCACAGGCTCCAGACGCGCAGGCTCAGCGGCCATGGCTCACAGGCCCAGCCGCTCCGCGGCATGTGGGATCTTTCCGGACCGGGGCACGAACCCGTGTCCCCTGCATCGGCAGGCGGACTCTCAACCACTGTGCCACCAGGGAAGCCCTACCCTCAATTCTCGATAGTACCTAATCCACAGCAAATCCCCACCAAGCCCCTGAATCCTCCCCAATATTATCTAACAAAAGCCCATATTCTCTAAGTTTGTTCAGCATAGTCTTGCTGAGATACCACATGGTTTCTTATGGTATGTGGTTTCCTTGCTGCAGAAAGCATCAACAAACCCAATTTTGTACACTGTGGGCATGATGGTCTTTGACTAATGGGCATCAACATAAATATTCTGGCTTAACTGATCAAGAATACTATTTACCAAAATAAAGAAAGAGGAAGAACAAGTTTGTTTTTCTTTGTGGGAGAAAGATACCTTTCTTGAAGAAAGATAAAGAAAGATACCTTGCTTTAGATATCTGAATCTATGTTGCCCACTGGCCATCAAAATGGATATGTCAGAAGCCAACTTATTACAACTGCTTAGAGCTCAAGAGTGGAATTTAAGACTAGAAATTTTGATATGAGAATCAACAACATATAGATAGTAACTGAAGCCATAAAGTAGATCAGAGTATCCAGAGATTAAGGAGTAAGAAGCATAGACAGTCAAGGTATAAACCCAAGGAAAGAAGAATCCTTGAGATAGAAATGGTACAGCCAGAGGGATAGGATGGTGTTTCAAGGAGGAAATGGTATGGCACTAATTTCCAAGGTCAACAAGAATTGAAAGCCAGCCTTTATATTTAGTAACAAAGGGTAAATAGAGAGAGGTTTTAGGTTGTATGCTAGGGAAGTTTTAGTTTGTATGCTATCTTAGGGTATATCTTAGGGTATCTTAGGGTATTCTCTAACTATTCCAGCCTCAGTCTCTTCTCTTCAACAGAAATATAAAGAAAATAATCCATGTGGGAGTTAAAACATAAGTCATACAGAGGCATACCTCAAATATATTGCAGGTCCAGATCCAGATCACCACAATAAAGCAAATATCGCAATAAAGTGAGAGCGAGTCAAAAATTTTTTGGTTTTCAGTACGTGAAAAAGTTATGTTTACACTATACTGTGGTCTATTAAGTGTGCAACAGTATTAGGTCTAAGAAAACTATGTACATACCTTAATTAGAAAATACTTTATTGCTAAAAAATACTAACCATCATCTGAGCCTTCAGCAAGTTGTAGTAGTAACGTCAAAGATGTTACTGACCACTAACCACAGATCACCATAACAAAGATAACAAAAAAGCTTGAAAGATTGCGAGAATTACCAAAATGTGACAGAGAAACATAAAATGAGCAAATGCTACTGGAAAAATGGCACCAACAGACTTGCTCAATGCAGGGTTGCCACAAACTTCAATTTGTAAAAAATGCAATGATCTGTGAAATGCAATAAAGCAAAGCACAATAAAACGAGGTATGCCTGTAAAGTAAGGTCTAACACAGCTCTCAAATACCTGCTGAACTGAAAATCACAGATGTGGGACTTATGTTGACTGTTGAAAAATGAGCACTTACAGAGACCATCAGGGAGAACTACAGAATACTGCAGAAGAAAAATTATCTAGTTTAGTAGTTTTCAAATCATTTTTAAAGGAAGAAATCCCATTCCTCAAGTGAAAAAGTACCTAAACATAAAAGTAAGTCCTCTGGTTGAAGAATAAAAAGATAGCTAAGCAAAGGGCAACGCTATAATCCTCTCATTATATGTCTTCAAAGCATTACAAATCAGCCTCCTCAATGTCTTGTACCAGGAACACTTTGCTGCAGAGCCTTTGTACTTGCTGTTCCCTCTGCCCAGAATGCTTTTCCTCCAGAGAGTTAAATGGCTAGTCTCCTAACTTCAGACCTTTACTCAAGTCACCTCCGTGAGAGCTTCCGTAGCCAACATTACCTAAAATTTCAAGACTGTCCTATCCTTCCTTTCTTTCTCCTTAACATTTGTCACCATCAACATACTATGTTTTATTACCTAGTTTATTAGGTTATTTATCATTGAGATTGTCATGTTACCCCATTAAAAAGAAATGTCCTCCCAACTACCCCATTTTTCTCTTGAAGATAACATACATTCCAAACTTCAGTGTTAAGTAAACAAATCAACACACTTGCCAGTGTAGCTCAACTGTATAAAATAGCAATGCTTTTATTTTGGGAAAAGAGAGAGAAAAAGAGATCACTGCTAATATCATTTCATAGAAAGATGATTTCAGAATGATAGTCCTTGAACTTGAATAAATTTAGTTTCATTAAAAAAAATAGGGAGAAAAGAGAAAACACAGTATAGTCATAAGGAACCTGAGTTCTAGCCTCATCTAGGTACCTTTCCAGAGACCCAGGCTTACTGTAGATTAAGGCTTAACAAGAATTACTTGTAGAGGGCCCATTTTGCAGTTCTGAAAAGAGTGGCTTTCATATTACTGTCAAAAACTGTGACGGGTCTGAAATTTTACCCTACTCGTAAACTAACAAATTATCCTACCACGGTTTTATAGATGCTGAAGACAGACACAAGACTTACAGGTTAGAGAAAAGAACTTTATTACTCATGGCAATAGCAGTACCAGTATCAGGTTTTGTGCCAGTTCCCTGAGTCCCATTTCCCATAGGGTAACACAAAGATGGCCAGGTGACAACTGTACATGCAATGGACCATGTTCCAGGAAAGAAACCCTGAGTTTAGGAACCCAAACCTTTTATAATGGGCATAAACATGCTTAT